GTTAAGCGAAGCAATCTCTTTCAGACAAGTTCTTTATTCTCCTAATCATCCTGGTGGCCATCCAGTGGTGACTCAGGTCCTTCTGGAAACCCCGTCCTGGCCCCGCTCTCCCTGGAGCCCGCCTTATCCTTTACCCCATGGCACACCATCATCACCTCGTCATGATGCATGGAGCGAACTGGGGGCTTTGTGCTGTGGCTGCTATTCTGCCCCACAGCAAAATTCATTCTCAAGGCCATTGGTAAACATGTCTTCATATTTTTGCAAATTGGAAGGGGGATGCGGCTTGGAGGATGCAAGTTAAGCTTTGGTGGAACAAATGTCACATTAGAAATAGCAGACACTGCAACCTTTGCTAGAAGAATGATGAGCGATGCAGCGCTGTAAGAGGTATTTCATTTTTGTGCCTCACCGTGGCAAAGAGTTGATGTTTAAATCATCTGCAGTTCATGACTTTGCAGATCAAGCATCTGGACATGAGGTAGATGGAGTTGATTACAAACTCCTGCCTGCTAAACTTTTCATTAATGACTTCCTAAGTCTCCCCTCTTTCTTAATAAGGTCATTGAAAGTGCAGTTAACCGGATTATCTTCCTCGCTTTCATGTGATTTTTCTTGCACTGATGTAAATGTGGGCTAAAGACACATTAGGCTCTTTCTTCTTCTTTATTAACTATCTTGATTAATTTCCTAGGTACAAAATGTAATAATTAACCAGACTTGACTTGGAGGCCTCATTAAGGTGTTGAGCAGAGCTATGGGAGACTGAAACACAACGTCACGCTCTGCCACAGATTCCTGGTTGACTGTGGCCAAACCCCACCAAGTGTCACTGCTCCCTACATCCCCCACGGGACAGGGATACAGAGGCTGCTGCTTCCCTTAAGCCTCCGTTATTTACTGAGCATGTTACTTTTCCATGGTTTATTCATGGAAATTAAGGCATCTTTACCCATTAAAATGTATTTATTCTCCGAATCACTTACAGAAATACGTTCAGAAATTGTCAGCCCAAATAGCAGAGAAGAGGATATTCAAAATGACAGCTCTGGGTCTGTGTGCGGAGAAAAACCTCACACACAGACCAAAAAAAGGGAGGGGGAGAAATAAAAGAGGTGGATTTACAGAGCTTTTAAAGTGGGGTTTCACTGCAAATAATTTTGCAGTCTGGAGTTTGAACTTATTTGGGAGCTTATGATCAGACATGAGTCTTTATCCCTTTAATTGTGACACAAAGCACACAGCCCTGGCTCCTCCAGCTCTGCTGTTTCCAGCAGGAGAATGTCTCTTGTCAGTGTTACTCCACAGAATAGAGCCTGTAGGGCAGAGCAGTTTTAAAGGGCTAAGACTGCTTTTAAATGCTCTTTTTCTCCTGTTATCTCATGTGCTGCTCTAGGTCTGCTGCTGATCATTTATTCACGATGTAAAAGAAAACCCAGCCCTTTGACAGAATGATTTTACTTTGGCAAAAGACCTGCTTTTCCCTTCATTTATTTCTCCCCAACAGCAGAAGTTGTTTCTACTCTTAAAATACAAAGCCATGAACAATATTAAAGGGAAACATAAAACTGCTTCCATAAAATGTTACTATATCGGCCCTATGAACCCTTTTCAGTGGGAAACGGTACGTAAGCTTATAGCACCAATTAGCTCTTTGATGTCTCCTTTACTTTCAGACAGGTCAATCTCCGTCTCAAAGGATGTATGAATCTTGCATCTTTACCTCCTGAGTCCCAGCCCACGGAAGGTGAAGTGGTGGCTTTATGAGCACTGTAAGTACAAAGTGACCTGATTAGAAGCGCTGACATGCACGAGTCCTGGTCGCTTCCCTATCCCACTGGACAGATGACAACTGGTAAGTCTCGATGCAGGGGTCTCTAAATCACTGTGCAAAACCCAACTCTGAGTCAAGGTGGGATTCCACCCATGCGGATTGAGTGATTGGTGTGACTTGCAACCGCTCCACTGAACGTAAATGGCACAGCTCATACTTATGCATATCTATATTAATAACACAGAATCCCAGCATGGTTTGGATTGAAGGGACGGACCTTAAACCCCCTTCAGCTCCAACCCCTGCCACGGGCAGGGACACCTTCCACTAGAGCAGGTTGCTCCAAGCCCCTGTGTCCAACCTGCCCTTGAACACTGCCAGGGATGGGGCAGCCACAGCTCCTCTGGGCACCCTGTGCCAGCACCTCAGCACCCTCACAGGGAAGAGCTTCTGCCCAAGAGCTCATCTCAATCTCCCCTCTGGCAGGTTCAAGCCATTCCCCTTGGCCTGTCCCTACATCCCTTGTCCAAAGCCCCTCTCCAGGTTTCCTGGAGCCCCTTTAGGCACTGGAGCTGCTCTAAGGTCCTCCAGAGCTGCTGGTCCTCCTCTGCCACTCACAGCTTGCAGAACTGGGCTTTACTAGTACAGAGCTCAGCAGCTTTCCCCTCTTGCTAAGTGCTAAGAGAACTACACAGGGGAAAATACAGGGAAAATGATGTTTTTTCTTTCATTTTTATCTTGCAAATGGCTCCCTCGTTCTGGCTTTGCTTCATGGAGCTCCCCCTTCTCCTCCTACACAAAATACACCTCAAATAACATCGCACTAACTGAATATATATACAGAATTGAAATAATAACTGACACTGTCACAGCTTCTCCATTGCAGCTTCCCATTCTGATGGGACACAAACACTTCTGCGATCTCTGAACAAAGCCCACACAAACAGCACCTTCATGGGCCTTCCTGTAGCAGCCATCCCTGAGGAAGGTTGTAAAAATGACTAAGTGTGAGGTTTTGGCTACCAAATACGATAATGTTCTTGATGCAACAACCCCCCTCAGCTTGGCAGAGCCAGAGTCTCACATTCTGACAAACCATCGGGTTCTAGAGGTCCGGTGGTAGAGGATAATAAGCTTAAGAAGCATTTCCTACACGTTATTTGTGAGGGGTTTTGGTGCCATATGGATTAATAGAGATTGCCATTTAAATGCTTCTGGTTTATATTCATCGCTTTATTACTCATAAAAATGCAAAAGAAAATGTTAATGATGATTACACCAAAGACTAATAAGTGAAAGCCTTGGGTTATACTTTGCATTTCTGAAGATAAAAATGCAATCGCTTAATAATTATGCATATTTTTAACCATTGGGTTATTATTTCTCTATGTGCTTGCAGTTAGCCTAATTAATTTTAAGCTCCTGTTTATATGTTTTAGACGTGCAATTAATCTCCAATAATTTTTCTTAGCCCCTTGCACAAGGGCATTAACTGTTCCAGAGACCATTGGAATGAAGAATTGTCTATCTTGGGACAGCACAATAAATATCACCTTCATGTGTTTAAACCAGACACCATTGTCCTGAAGCACTTGTAACAATAAACTGTCTCGTATCAATTTAGTTCTATAAATGGACTGTTCTTATTAACAGCATTGGGATCTCTGTGTTGTTTAGTGAGAAGAGGTCTGGAATTTAAAAACTCTATGTATTTTAATGCGAAAGCAGCTTATTTTGTCCTTGTTTTATTTTGGTTTTAATGAATTTATATTAAGTTTCTAAAGCTAATAAAGTTCCTATTTCCACATTTGAAAAAATTGCTTTCTGGTTCTAGCTTTGCTTTTTTTAGGCTGATGAGTTAATTCTTGGTTTTGTAACAGTGCTTGTGATGGCACACGCCAGAGAAGAGGTGTTCAAGTGAAACACTGCTTCTTTTAAATGCCAATAAAATGAATGGAAAGCTTCATACCTAAAGCTTCATGGGGGCAGGACACATCCTGATGGGGTATGAAGCACCCTGGTGAATCCCTCCTTGCAGCTGAGCTGTGCTGGGAAGGGGATGAGGATCCCGGGAGCATGGCACTGCACCAACATTGCTCATTCCACACCCTTCTCATCTGGGCCACGATGATGCTGGTACCTCAGCCTCAGCTCCAAGATACCATTTAGGTTAGGGGTAGGGTTGGGGTTAGGATTCAGAGAGCACAAATGCTGTGCAGTTTAGGGTTAGGGTTCAGAGAGCCACAAAGCCTAAGGCTCCAGGGGCACTGGGGCTCCAAAAGACATGCCAAGGATGAAGCATTTTTGTGCTTTCTCCCAAGCTGCCCTCAAGGAACCGCCTTGAAGAAACCCACAAAGCAACTCATCTTCCCCCTTTAGAACTCTCATGAGAAGCCAGAGCGGGCTGGTGGGTTGCCAGCACAGCTCATGGCCCTGCAGCTGCCAGCAGTGTGTGACAGACCCTGCTCCCGCATCAGTCTCACTGCATCCATCAGTCGTCTTTGAGTCTCCACTTGTGTTACATGACCAGCAAAGCACAGCTCGTGGCCTTGTGCCACCCCCCGGGACAGCCAGGTCCTGGTCACAGCGACCCTCCTGCCATGTGCCACAGCAGAGGCACTGCCTGTTTCTGAGCACGCTGTGACATCCTAAGGGAAGCGCGGGTGTTTCTGGAGATAGTTGGTATCGGTGTTAAAATGCAAGGGCTGTAAACCTGCCATGAGCTCAGCACCTGGTTAGGCACCTGCCAAATACCAGCCAAAACAACCAAGTTTGGTGCCATGCAGAAGACCTAAACCAACCCGCCAGATACCAGCAGAGTGCCTCTGCAGGGAACTGTACCACAACCACTGCACTGCTGTTCTCCTCTTGTACTTCTACATCTTGTTCCATTGTCAGCAGAACATGAGTGAGGATTTAAACCTGATTTTGGCAAGTTGGAGACCCTTCTGGGTGAATTATCTATTGAGCCAATGGCATAAACAGTCTATGGCTATGCATGTCCAAGAAGAGAGAAAGGAAGAAAGGGAGAAAAGGGAGGGAGAGAGGGAGGGAGGGAAGGGGGGAAAGGAAAGGAAGAAGGAAGGCAAGAAGGAAAACAGGAAAGGAAGGGAGGAAGAGGGGCAGGGTGCCTTAAAATGTGCTTGAAAGCTGACATTTCCCACCTATAAACTGATTTTTTCTAGTGCATCCCCAATAAGGGTTTTCAGTTGGTTCAAGCACATACCTTGTACAGTTAAGTGCACCTGCATCGTTCTGGGAGTGTGCTGAGTTTGCACAGAGCAAGTGTAGGGACCATCATCTGTCACATCGACGTCCTGTATCTGCAGGCTGTACTCTCTTCTGTTTGCTGTGGCGATGGAAACTCGAGGATCTACCGACCACTTGTCACTTCCAGCAAAAATAATACTTGACCGGTTCAGCCAGGCTCCTTTGGAAGCTCCATCCTCCAAGTAACACCTGGGAAAAAGAGGAGACTATAAGTATGGCAAAGTGGGAGCTTTTAAATATCATTAACTGGCTGTTGATTTTTAGACTGAATACAGCTGCAATATATATTTTGCTGGAGAGGGACTCTTCATCGGGGACTGTAGAGATAGGACAAGGGGTGATGGGTTTAAACTGAAACAGGGGAAGTTCAGATTAGATGTAAGGCAGAAGCTCTTCCCTGTGAGGGTGCTGAGGCGCTGGCACAGGGTGCCCAGAGAAGCTGTGGCTGCCCCATCCCTGGCAGTGTTCAAGGCCAGGAAGGCCAGGGTGGACACAGGGGCTTGGAGCAACCTGCTCTAGTGGAAGGTGTCTCTGCCCATGGCAGGGGCTGGAGCTGGAGGAGCTTTAAGCTCCCTTTAACCCAAACCAGGCTGGGGTTCTGTGATTCTGTGATCTTAGAATCCAAAAGAATATTTTTTCTTTTCCAAAGCATTATTAGATTTGTCATTGTTAATCATATTCAAGACATCTTGTTTAAAGCAAACATACATTCAATTAGCATGGATTTCCCTGCTGACAGCAACAATAGAATACAAAGCAGAGTTCTACTAAATATTTCTTAAAATCTCTTTCGTATGGCAGTGACTCAGACAAACGTGATTTGTTTATTATGTCATACTTAAGTTTTTCCCAATTAATATTAGAACAGTAACTAATAACTGTGCTCTTTGGGGTATAATAGTCACCTTAAGCAGAGCTCAGTGAGCAACACCCCCCCTGCAATCAGCAGCAGATATACTCCGGTCGGGTTCTTTTCCTTCTGAATTTCAGTTGAACAATATTCCTCCATAAAGTAAAGACTTTGTTTTTGCTAAAATGAGTAACAACTGCAGCTGGAGAATGAAAACGTGTCTATCTGAGGAGCCTGACAGCATTTCTACATGATATCTCAGGGGGTTGAACATGGCACCGGAGATTGCTGTGGAATTGTGAGCTGAATGCACCCGTGTAGCCACTGGGAAGAGGCTAAAACTAATCAGCTGAGAAATATAAGGAACAAGGTATATTGCAAAATCTCATTTGCAGTCCGTTTCACCATCTGCAGAATCAAAACCCAGGCCGAGTATTAAAGGTCAATGTTAATTGAAAATCCTTTCTGTGGATATGCTACCCAAAAAAAGCTACCCAGGCAGAACAGAAGTAGAAGCTTCTCCTAAGGTAATTAGGCACTGCAATATGCTGCTGTTGTCAATAATTTGTGTTGCCTATTAGGAAACATTTGTAATTTCTTCCCTAAAATAGCTTTTCATCTGAAGTTGCTCACTTGCACACTGGGACAAAGAGGGATGCATGGGAAGGATGTGATTAAATGGCTCTGACAAGTCCTAAAAGCAGCCCAGCATCAAGCACAGCTACTTAAATCTTGTGGGAAAAGAGGTAAGAAGCTGGTGCATAGTCTTGGAGGCACTTCCTAACATCATTCAGTCAAGGAGAAGTGAAGGAGATGGTTGTTGGGGTGGGATCCCTGTGGAGGTGAGCAGGTACTGGCGGGAGAGTGCAGTAGCCAGTGGGAACAGAGTGATGCCAGAGGGTGCAGGGCTGCACCAGAGACCTCGCACTGGTGGAGGTAAAGGAGCAGCCACTCATCCACACACAGGCTGGTAGGATAGAAACAGTCCCAGGAGATGCTCTCATTTGTAATGCAGCTGATGGCTTTGGAAGAGCCATCAAGTTTCTCTGATGTCTGGAAAGAGGGAGCAGCTGGTGACAGAAGCAGGAGACAGAAAGGATGCTGAAGACCACTCCTCAATCCCACGGGCATTTCAACTGATCAGTTGATCATCAGACACCATCAGTGTCCAACTGATGCCTGGACAATGCAGCCTATATGCTGTCAGTGCAAGCAACCACAGGGCTGGCTGGGCCATGTTCTTGAGCATCAGCCAGGACTATGGCTTTTGTGAGCAGCCAGGAGAAAGCATGAAATGGCAGCAAGTGGGGAAAGGAAACATAATGATGTGAAACCCACTGAACACCAGCAGAGCACAGGACTGTGTGAAGTCTGAGAATACAGTGAGAATAAACCCACTGCAGATACTTCAAGTACCGTCTTGTCACAAGCAAATGTTTGTCATAAAACCAGGAGGACTCAACAAAGGAGATCACAGAATCACAGAATCGCAGCTGGAAGGGACCCCAGGGATCATCTGGTCCAAGCTGTCCAGCTGAATCCTAACAGTGTCCGACGCTGGGGAGTCACCACTTCCCTGGGGAGATCATTGCAATGGCTGCTTGCTCTCAATGATTAGACCTGGGCAGGAGAAAATGGTGGCAGCTTGGGTTAGAGAGTATGGGAAAAGTGGGATGGGAGAAGGGTGTCCAGGAGGAAGCAAGGAGAGTTCCTCTCGGTGGCTGAGAAGGGATAAAAGGGTAGAGGTCACACGCACAAGGAACTTTCTTCGCGTGAGCTGATGAACTCGGCTGAACTGTCTGCAGTGAGGTTAAAGACACTGAACTATAGCTCAAAACCAGAGCGCTGTACTCCAGGTTTCCATAAAGAAGGTGACGTCCAGCACGTGGGCAAAGGCAGAGCAGCAGCGAAGCCAAGGGCAGAGAAAACCATGGATGGACTCAGGTCTGAGAGCATGAAACTGCAATTCCAGGAGTATGTGTGGGCTTTTTAACTGACCTGAAAGTGGTGCTGTGTGACAGGGGAAGAATAGATGTATTATCTACATGTAAGGAAATGTGGAGAGTGAATCAGGAGCGTTTCAGGCTAACCACCATGCCAACCACAATAGAATTCAGGGCTTTAAAACAACTTTCAGAGCTGAAGGAACGTAATACAAAGTGCAACAGACTAATGGGACATTTTATTTGATAAAGAGGTTTTTTACATGAAGGAAATCCAACAGAAGAGGAGAATGCAATAGATCTCATCTCTTTGATAAAACATTAAAATAGCACAATTACGGAAACTGGTAGGTGAGAGAAAATGGGGATTTCGTAGCTGAAGCATATGGCAGTATTGTTTAAGGGGGAAAAATGACATTCCCTTTAGGAATAAGAAACTAGAAGCATCAGGCTGACATTCTTCAGAAATGGAACATGAAAATAACCATTCATTTAATTAATGATCTCAACGTGAAATCTGAAAGGGTTCTGAAGGAAGCTGTATAGAATACAGCATAAAAAAATCACAGTTTATATGGCAGAGAATTGGGATGTCAGGGGGAAGCATCTCTTTGAGGATGGAGAGCACAGCAGATGTCTGTGAATCCCTGCAGGAGGAGTTTTGTAGGGGCTGGTCCCATTTGGAGAAAGAAGCAGCCACTTACAAAGTCTTATGAACATTTCCCCATTGATTCTAATGAACAGAAGACTGGGGAGAAGCCAAGAAACCTCAGATTCACTGTCATTTTTCTACAATGCATTTCTTTTCTACTGGTATTTCTAGAGCAGCTGGATGCAGGCAGTTACAAATGAGGGTTTGTGCAGGAAGCCTATAGTTTCAGTGAGCATTTACCATCTTACTGTGCCCTGGGCTGCACCCCAGCAGCTCAGGGAGGGGATCCTGCCCCTCTGTTGCGCTCTGGGGACACCTTAGAGCAGCTCCAGTGCCTAAAGGGGCTCCAGGAAACCTGGAGAGGGGCTTCTCCACCTTCCTTCTTCTTTCCCCACCTTTATATGCTGAGCATGATCCATGGTGTGTTGTGTGCAGCTGGGGTCAGCTGTCCCAGGCATGTTCTCCCACAGCTCCTTGTGCACCCCCAGCCTGCTCACTGGTGGGGTGGTGCGAGGAGCAGAAAAGGCCCTGACCCTGTTGAAGCACTGCTCACTGATAACAAGGACATCCTGTGTTATCAACACTGTTTATAGCACAAACGCAGAACACAGCCCATCAGCAGCTACTGTAAAGAAAACTGACTCTGTCCCAGGGAAAACCAGCACAGCCCCAAAGGTTCCCAAAAACATCTAGTTTCATAGAATCATAGAATCAACTGGGTTGGAAATGACCTTTAAGATCATCAAGTCCAATGGTTAAACAAAGCCCATTTGATATCAAGGCTT